TAATTTCTTTTTGTATTCTTATGTTGACTTGAAGTCTCACACAAAATATATTATAAGAAAATGTTATCAAACTAAAATCAATCCTTCATGACATGCTTATTTTGAGAGAGAAAATTGATTATGTTTATTCGAAAGAACTGGCCTTATTAGCTATTACGATGATTGATAGCCGATTATATTCTTATTTATTAATATTTTTGTGTGTTTGTGTGTGTGTGTGTTGGTGGGTGGGGGGAGGAGAAGATACCTAAAACGTTCACTGCTTCATAGTCAGATAAATCACTCAAAAAATTTTATGCCAAACTGGAGAATGAAGCTGCAAGAGTGTTTTTTCCTCTAAATGATGTAGTATTTGGAATGAATTAAGTGTATAAAAAAAATCACATCGTACGTATGGAAGCTAGTATTGTGAATATATTATAGGTATTTATTTCAAGGGTTTTGCTCAATGATTGGGTCTTCCATATGAAGAAAATCGTGTCGCAACAAAGACCCCAAGTCAATTTATTTGAGTCTCTCAACAAATACTATGAATTATTAATTATATTCAGACAAAAGAAGAGGAAAAAAATAGTAATGTTTACATGCGACTCAAATAATAAAATAAAAGAATAGGATATCCCAAGTTGTCCTTGGCGTGTACGTCGAAGGGGATGGAAAATTGAGAAAGTGGTAGTAATTGGAGGCTGACGACGCTGATGTGGGATCCTCCAACCAAAATTTGTCTTCAGGGTCAATTTTGCTTTTTTGAAAATTTTCAGTACGATTTCAACCTCAGGGTCCTACACCAATACAACAAGTTTAAGAAACAAATTATGTGCATATTATTCTTACCTTCCATTTTATATAATTCATTTTATTGTACTCTCTCTGTTCCATAATTATTGTCCAGTTTGAATTTTTATTTCTAGTTCAAATTATAGTAAAAGTGAACTCTCAGACTGGACAACAATTTTAGAACAAAAGGAGTATTTAATTATTTCACAAAGTGAAATATTAAAAAAGTAATGAAAAAGACTAATGTTACATGTATTTGGTGTATGTTTTTCGAAAACATTAATACATGGTGCTGGTGGGTTTACAAGAGAGTGGATTAATGCGTATATATAGACTTCTTGCAAATTGTAACAACAATATACCAGCTAGCGAAGTTGAACTTGTTACGCCATCGAGTAATGGAGGGAACACTGCAAGAATCCCATAAGTTTCTTCCTTTTTTTTTTCTTTTGCTTCTAGGGCCCCATTTTCCATTTCTTCTCAAGTAGGATAATGGGATTTGAAAACCCTCGCAAGATGATTAAAAGACATCACCAAATTTCATTTGTCAAAAATTAATGTTCCGAGGTGGGGAAGGTTTGTTTGATTTATTTGTTTACTCACCTTTTTTTTCTTGTTATATAGAATATTAGATTGGATTAGATTTCCTGTTAATTTGTTGAATTATGAAGATACTGTGCAGAATAGTAATGTGAGAAGTTCATAGAATATTAAAAGATATATGGACATTGTGAGAAAGTAAGGAAACCAAGACACCTTTTCATTTTAAACTTGTGTTATGGACCATATTAACATAGTAAAGTTCACAGTGATATTCATACTTATGTACTAGAATTTTCAAGTTACATTTTTTTAATTTAGATATTCTCTCAATCTTGAAATGATTGACCAATTTTGATTTTTATGTTTGGTACAAATTTTAAATAGAAAAAATTAAAGTAGACAATCATTTTAAAACGAAGAAAATATATACAACACTGAAAAAAAAAATCCAAATGTTACGCATTCGCGGTGGGAGGGGGTGGTAATGGAATATTCAAAATGAGATCACGGGTAGGACTTACCTTGTCTTAGAGAAAATTCAAGAAATTAAAGAAGCGCAAAATGTTATGGCATCGGGATTTTATTTTGTCATAAATAAATATTTGGCGCGTGGTTAGATAACGGACCATATGTTTTTATTTATTTTTTTTCTTTTTTGGTAAATGATAGAGTTAAACTCTTTAGTAAGTTTTTTTGATCAAAATTTATAGGCGAAAAATACTAATGATGTCATGTTCTACGGAGTACAACTCATATCAAAGTTTAAGATGTCAGTTTCAATATAAAATGTAGTAAAAATAAAAATTTAAATTGAATAATTATTTAGGACAAACTGAGTACAAACAAATCAGCAACAAAACCAACCAAAATTTCTTTTGTACCGGTTTGCGCTGTTTTTGTAGTCACTACTGTTACGAACTTCTGCATACGTTATGTTTCGAACCCAAAGCAGCTTTTTACAACAAACGCTTCTAAATTTGCTGCTCTAAGCCTCAAAATTAATGAAAACTCTAACCAATCTCTGAGCAACAAATCTTGCTTTTCCGATCCACGAGGATAGTCAAATTGGCCTTTTGATACCGTTACTTGGTACTCTACGACAAGCCAATCTTATTATCTTTTCAACAACTTTACAAACCTCTTTATTATTATTGAGTCTTCTATCCGGTACACAATCATAGAAAATTAGATAGGAAATTTCAGATTGAGAATCATCATTTATTTTAACGTAATTTCCGAAAAAGAGGGAAAAAAAAAACGATGGTCACTCAACATTTCCGCATTATAATATGATTTGATGTATTATTTAAATTCGATAACATTCTTTTTTTCTCTCCCTTTCCGGACTAAAGGACAATATAAGAATATGACCTATTTTGTTAAACTATTTATTTCTTGAATTTCGTATTTCACACGATTTTGATGGTTCTTTAGAGCCCACCTGAAGTATGTTTTTCGTTTGGGAGTTGTCTGAATTTAGTAGTACGACTAAATACTACTGCGTGCCTAGGTGTATACCGGTATATTTAATGGTTTAGTGGGACGATGACTAAGATATATGTTGAGGATGACACCAGTACATATATGATTGAAATCGAATGTATTTTCTATTTTTCTTATATATAAAAAATAATAAAATAAAAGAAGATGGGGATGATGTAATATGTAATCGGGGTCGTTTCTTATTGTGTCCCTTTGATCATCATGATTGATCATCCAGCAACATTGGATCACATTAATTTTACAAAAGAATTGTGGGGTTCCATATCTCTTTTGGTTTTTAGTGTGTTCAATAATATAGCAAGCAGTATTACTGTTGAAACTCACATTTCAAAAAAAAAAAAAAATGAATAATGAAATTCATGATTTGTTGTTTTGGTAGAAAAAGTTCTAACATTATGCGTACTCTTTTCCTCCAAGAAAAGAAAAACAATAAGCCGAACATTAATTAATTAATTAGTTGTGAGACGGAGAGTAATTTGTGTGGAATTCAACTACAAACACTTTTGAGAAGCGAGAAAAGGAAACGGAGAGCCAAATTTGTCTCATATATTAGAGTGGGTGAGGACATATTTTGATGACCATTGGAAAGAATGTTAGATTACCATATCTGAACTATTCAAAGCTTTTTCCCGGAATATGTATGAATTTTGAATTAGCAAATTACACGAATTAATTAGTACTTAAGTTAGTATTCCGTCAATTAATCTCTTAGGGAAATATACCAAAAAAAAAGAAAAATTGGTACAATGCGATTCGACTCAAAATCAACAACTAGTTTTGATTTAACAACGGAATTTTCCCCTTGATTGAAACGATATTTAAAATTTTATCAGGATGGTCCAATAGTTAAAGAAATGATGAAGATATATAGCAGTTTTATCAAATAAAGTAGTCTGGTGTGACGCATGATAATTGATAATACAAAATACAAATTAAAACGGTATTTCTTTTAAGAAAATGAATCTCGCAATAGATCATTGGATAAGTTCATTTTCTCTATAACTATTTCATATGCAAAAAAACTTTTGCTAGCTTTTCATCAATTAGCACCCAAAAGATGCCCTTTCGTAGATGTAACCTCCTATAGGAAGTACGCTAAGTTCCCATTTATGTAAAGAAAGGATAATTAGACCCACAGATGAAGTGAATGGAAAAAAAAAAAAAAAAATAGTAATCGGCCATGGCTGGTCCCCCTCTTTTGCCTTGTAGCTTTTGTCATTCGAAGTAGTTGCTTAGAGCAATCAAATTAAGCATCGAAGAAAAGAAGATGCGTACAGTGATAAGAAAGTTAATTATGGGGGAAAAAAAAGGAAGAAGAAGAAGAAGTTGATTTGCCTAACAAGGGATGAAAAAATATGCCCACAGAAACAAAACCTCCATAACCGAAAGGAGAGTTGATAAAAATAAATATACTAATATGCAAAGAATATAAGTATAAGATGTAAATTCAAGAAGGAATCAGCTGTGATTTGCTTGTGTTGGAATCAACTTGTCTAGTTTTTGTGTTGGCCTTATCCTCTTAATGAAGATACATATGGACCAACTTAAGCACCTTATAGTTTATAAAATAAATAGGGTGTAAAAGACTATATTAGTCTATTTAATTTACTCGAGAAAAAGCCTTTGCTACCAATTGTGTTGTCTAGCAACCATTTGTCCCTTATAAATTTAATTTATTATATGGAACACAAAGGTTAAAAAAAAAAAAAAAAAAAAGTCGATAGTTCCAAAATATTTTACCTTATGCTCGTTGTACTCCCTCCAATCCAAAATAAGTGTCGTTTTAGCAAAATGGAGAAATTCCAAAATAAGTGTCGTTCTCACATTTCAATGCATTTTTTGTCAAAAGTTTTCAAAGTTACCCTCAAAAGAGTTGATGCTATTGGTGGACAATTTTATAATGAGGTTTGTTGAGGATATTCAAGTAATTTTATTACCCTATTTAAGAGTTTCTTAAACTATGTTCAAAGTGTAAAACGACACTTATTTTGGAATGGAGGAAGTACTAATTAATAAATATGACTTTCGTTTCCGAATGGGTATTTCTTTGTTCATACACTAATTTCTAGATGCATGATCAATGAATCTAATCCTACATAATCTTTGTGAACATTTTTTAATACAAAGTATAAACAACTCTATAGAGAACCTTACAACTGATTTGTTTTCCTATCTAAATCACAATGAGAAATTCTTCGATTCTAATATTCTAAACATGTTAAAACCACATTATTCGATTCTTCACACAAAAATTAAACACTAAACTAAGCATATATCACATCCCAAATCCAAATTTTGAAATCCGCATTTCATTTCATCTGTACCAAACCCACCACTGTGATTCCTATGATCTCATCAATACAATATAATAATATACCTTATTAGCTTTTCAAGTGCATTCTCATGCATCTTGTTTGTTTAGATGCACAAAAAATAAAGCACATAAAAACATTGTAGACCCCATTTTTCTCATGCAAAATGACGACATAATTCACCAAAAAACAAAATTTCATCTCTGCCTTCCACTCCATCTCTCTCATAGTATAATTTTTAGTGAATTTCCTCCAAAACCCCTTCAACAATCCAAATAATTACCATAACCTCTTTTTTCTTAGCTATATATAAACGCCCCTTCTTTCCTCCTTTCCTCAACTCTCAATTCACCCTTTCTTTCCTTCACTTAGTTTTATCCATCATCCTCTTTAGAAAAAAAGAAGGAAAAACACACAGTCACACAGTAAACAAACAAACAAACAAAAAAAAAAAAAACCAAAAATGGACGTTCATTTCGCAATCCATAGTTCAGCTGCAAAAACAATGGGAATAGCGCAAAGCCCATCATCATCGGCCACCGGCTCGACGGTGCCGCGATCGCCGTGGCACTCGCCGGTGCCTTACTTATTCGGCGGGCTGGCGGCGATGTTGGGTCTCATTGCTTTCGCTTTATTAATTCTAGCTTGTTCCTACTGGAGGCTTTCCGGGTACCTCGAAAGCGGGTCCGGCAACGGCGAAAGAGACCTGGAATCCGGCGAAGGCGAAGCCGGTTCCGATGAAAACGATTTGAAGAAAACAAAACCGGTTTTTGAAGAGAAGTTTCTGGTGATCATGCCTGGACAAGAAAAACCCACTTGTTTGGCTACTCCGATGTCGAGCCGGGCTTCGTCTTTCGGTAGTACCGGAAGTTGTAATAGTTCATGTAGTTCTACTTCTTCCGCTTCCATTTCAACTGAATCCAAAAAGGAAGAAGAAAATGACGATTTCAGCCACCAAGATGTTGAGATGGGAAGAATGGATGACCACCGCCACGTCACCAACCAAGAAAATCAGGTCTCATAAAATTTTCATTTTCTTTTTCTCTCCACCCCTTTTGTTGTCGCTTTGGTTTTGGCTTTTTATCAGCCATTGGAGCTGTTGAAAGGATTCTTGAAAAACGAAAGAAAAAAAAAATGCCAAAAAAATCAGTGGAGAAGGAGAGGAGCAAATGAAAATTTTCTATAAAGAATTGGAATTGGGGTAGAATTCGAATTCCTTAACATTTGACAGAGAAGGGAGGCTTTAGATTGGAAAAAGCCTAGGTGGGGTGTCGTATTTTCTCGCTGATATGATTAGATATTTCGGGAAATGTAAATATTTCATTGAGAGATGGACGGTATTATAATATATATCAACCTTTCATTTACATATAATGTTACAATTTGGCTTGTTTTCTTTTTTTGTTTGCTGATAAAATAATTATTGTTTTTTTAAAATTCATTTTTACGTGGCAGTCTCCTTCATTTCTTTATTTTGTTAAGGAAATGGACAATATTTTAGCGGTTGATTGTGTTTTATCTACTTTGTTCTGGTAATGGAACCAGTGAACCACAATGGAATTCTCGTTTCTCACCCAACTCTATTTCCACTAGCTCCCCACGTTATTTTTCACCCCGATTTTTTTCCTTTTTAAAAATTGAATGTCTATAACAATCTCTCAAAACTCCTATATCGTCATAAAGAGATATTCCTGTCGTTATTATTCCACTCAACTCTCTCATCCAGTCACGTTATTTTCCACTTTCTTCCAAAAAGAAACGATCAATTCCCTTTATTTTCCTCAAAAAGCTTGGTTGTACATTTTTGGGGGTGAAAGTTGAGGTTTTTAGATTACTTAACCAAAACAGATTTAAAAACTTTCATATTATATATATATGTACTGTTTTTTCACTTTGTTGAATCATTTTTATTTTAACAAAATCACTATTTAAATGAGACGGAAGATAAATGAGTCGGAACAAGTATAGGCAGAGACTTGACCAAAAAAACACATTTCAATTGTTATAGAGTAAATCATAGAATTGAGGACACTGGTTCTATATTATTGGAAACATTTATGTAAACAGTGTTTCAGATGGATAAGAACCTGAAAGGGAAAAAGCAACATGAATGAATGACCAAATTTGATGCAGTAGTACATAGTACACTTCATTTTTTTCAGTATTTTATCCAAGAAAAGAATCCCATGAGAATTCGTGAAATGAACCAACAAAAAATTGTAATATTGTTGGTCACGTGACACCTGAACGAATAACACGTGCAATAAACGTAACAGCGTAATACTATATATTCGTCATTATTCAAAATCACTGTGATTAAACAGTCTGGCAATTCTTTTTTGTTGCGGCGTTTCGTGATCGTAAACCATGGATTTCTTACGGTACCACTTTAGTAGTCTATTCCGTTAATTGACTTCAATTCTATTAGGTAATCATTATATCAAGGCGTCACCCACAGAAAAATCAAACCAATTTTTGTGTGTGTGTGAGTGTGTGTGTGTGTGTGTGTGTGTGTGTGTGTTAATTTGATAAAGTGAAAATCCGACATAGCCATCAAAGCCATCAAATCTAGATCGATGGCTAACTTACTTTAATTTTTGAATGGAGTAGATGAATATTAACGTCATTTATAATTTGCCCCTATAAATCAGATGTGTGTTACAACATTATTTTCAAGAGAGAAATGATGCAAAATTTGAGAAGTGTGTGATTTGATGAGCGAGTGGTCCAGTACTGTAGTGTTAGTGTGCACCATCAGGAATTAGATCGAAGGGGAGGTCACTTTCACTGTGGGTTAGATGATCGATCAGTAGGCCAACATTCATCAATTCAATTCACATGATGTTGTCTTTGTTGTTAGATGCTTTTAGGGTTTCTTATATGGATCAGATGCACTTTTCGTCCCCTAACTTTTGACGATAACAAGATCAAATTACCATAAATTTTCAATTGGCAAAAACAATCTCCTCAATGTTTTTCTCGTCAATTTTAATTAATTTAATAAAAATTTTCTAAAACTAACGGGAGAATGTCACATTCCGTCAGTTTCTCTTATTATGTTCAATTATATACTGATTGTGGGACTCATTGTTTGACCAGTAAAAAAAACATTAAAAAAAACCCAAAAATGAAATAAACAAAAGATGAACAAAAAACGGACTTCTACATTCTCATTCCAGAATCCAAAAATAAAATCTTTTTTCTTTTTCATTTCTTTCTATTAAGATTTTAATACAATTAAAAAAATTAAAAAAAAAATCTTTTGTTTTTTATCCTTTCTCCTTGCCATACCCAGAATCATCCCACCTCCGCCCAATTAATTTTTTCAATTTCAGTTCTTGATTGTTGCACAAAACCATCGGTATATTGTTCTTGTGGCTTGATGATAATGCCAATGGATGAAGAGGTGGTGGGTAGAAACTAACATCATCTGGATTTGAATTGTATTTAGGAGGACACAATCTATATATAACAAGAACATTTATCAACGTTTTTCTTTGCAAGAAGAATTTTGGAATTTAGTTTGATATGAAATAAATTGGGAGAATAACAACTTCCTGGGACCAAAATTCATCATGAAATGAATCAGAAAATAGAGAAGGGGGCAAAATTAAACAAAGGGGTTCATTTTTGAAGAGGGATTCATTCATTTCCCTCAAAACTGCAAGAACCAAACCAAAAAAAAAAAGCATTTTTTGGGTTCTTCGCTCTGTATATACGATGATAGCAAAAGGTCTAAACACCAATTACTGGATTATAAAAGAACAAAGCCACTAATTTAAGTCACCACAAAAAGTAGTATCACAATTCACCAACCAGAAACTACAAACACCAAATATGTGGCCAAGGACTTCAACACAATAGGCTAGACTGTTGCACAGACGAAGGGCAAGCTTCTACAAGACTGACGGAAGGCAGCAAAGGCGGTAGCAGTTGAGGGAATTCACACATCTGGTGGCATGTGAATTGTACTCGTCTGTAAGGACGGCAGCAGGAAGAGAAGACGATGTCGGCTGAAAAAGTATGTCAAGTGAAGAGTGAAGGTGCCGGCTGATTTTGATACACCTCTCCATCAAAACAAAGCCTTGAAGGGAAGTCTCACCATAACAAGAGCAACCACAAAAGGCTGTCTATTTATTTGTAACAAAAAATAATCCCAATTTGAAATCTCTCCAAAAACTTCAAGAAATTAAAAGATGATAAACAGAGAACAATCAAATCAAAAGACTATTTCTCCGATGAGCAGTGCGTATGAGCCGACGCCATAGCTAATTCTCCATTTCTGCTATTGCTTTCTTGAAGTTCTCCTTCTATTAAGCTTTTTTTGGATTGGAAATTAGAGATATTCGTTCCCTTTATCGATCTTAAATTAAAAAAAAAAAATCAGAAGGCTACAATCAATCAAATCCCCCCGATGTGTGGAAAAGGAGGTGCAGCCGTGCGGTGATTCTCGTGGAGAAAAGGGTAAATTTTTTTTTATTTCTTTAAATTATATTAGATTTTAATAAAAATAAATAAAGAAAAAAAAGAATTTTTTTTTTTTGCTAGGTCAAAACTAGTGAGTCCTACCGTTCTGAAAATTAATAAAAAAAAATTAAGAACTTAACGGAAAAAAATGGTTGACTCGTTAAGTTTGAAAAATTCTGTTAAATTGACCAAAATTGATGACAAAAATATTTTAAGAGACTATTTTCGACAATTGAAAATACATGGTGACTCGAGCCTACTAGCCCCCATAGATGAGGATCAAAAGTGCATTTTGTCCTTCTTATATTAACGTGAATGGTTTGTGACATAAATTAAGATAATAGTATATTGTTTCGAATACACTAGTAAATTAACAGTAAGTTTCGGAATGATGATGAATACGAATCGAATTTCACATCGATAATAAAGATAAAAAGGGAAAAAATACATACTAGATTTTTATGTTTGGACTTGAATTCTCTAAGGGCCGAATTCTTGACAAGTAGTATTACTACTACATAAAACTTCGTACTCTAAAAGTTGTATTGTACCAATTTAGAGTAGAGTTTGAGTGAAATTGTTAAGGTCATGATAAGTATCTAATCTCATATTGATAACAAAAAGAAATACATTTGGAGCACTCAATAATTAGAGATTTTAAGAAAGCATTTCCGCATTAAAAATCTTTTGTTACATTAGATTCGATGTGAATGTACATAATGTTGTAAGTTTCCAAAGACTTAATTGAGCTAGCTACTAATAAAATTAGCCGTACGTTAGAGAAAAGTGATCGAAGATGTAGTGATTGGGCAGCTGGGGAAATTGTTGAAAGGGATAAGCATTGGGAGGATTTGCAAATTGGAACACTGTTAAGGATAAAAATGTTGCCTTTTGGGAGTGGTACACAACAGCACGCATTGTCATACTAAATGGTAACATAACTTTATTTCCACACACTGAATCATTTTGATCATGGTAATATATACACCACTGGGACATGGTATTGTATTGACACCCTCAAGGGGCCCGAAACACCAAATCCCCCCACCAAAAAAGAAAATATAGAGTTAGTGAATAAAGCAATATTGATGATCCCAGCCTGCAATCATTGTTAAAAGAGGTTTATGGTGCATTTCATACATTATGATCAGCCACATATTTTTAAATTAAAACAATGAAAGAAATAATAGGCAGCTTAGGACAATCAAAAAGAAGAGTCCGTTGGTGACGAAACCAGTTACTTGGATTTAGAGGGGCTAACTATGTACTAATGATCAAGATATATGCCGGACATTGATGGCAGGAGGTCAACAATGAATACCTCTAAGAGACTCTCCGGCCGGCTGGAGAGGCTTGGTATCCCCAAGTCACTTAAGAGTTCCATCATTGGTCCGGTCCAAGATAAGTAAAAATTAGTTTGAAAATTGTATGTGCTCGATTTAATTGTCCATAAATATAGTAGTCTCAACTTGTTTGGGATGGCATCCCATATTACTACAACCCAGCTACTCATGGTGCAATGAGTATGATAATCTGAAACGGAGATGGTGTCATGGCAATCTACAATTGCTTAACCTTTAATACGTACTCTTTATAGTCTTAAAATTTTGGTAAGTTATTCTACTCATCGTTTCTTTCTATGATAAAATCTGCTTAAGATTGAACGGATGTATATGACATGAAACATTATGATGACCTAATAGTGCCAAAGTTAGAAAACATTCCCATTTGTTTGAAGCCATAATGGTCAATCATGGCCTTCAGTAATCAACTCCTTCCAAAGGCCCATGAGAACTACAACACCTATTATATATAAAGCCCTCCTCAGATTATTCCCTACATCTGATGTCATATACAAAGAATGTTCTTTAACCACAGGAACGCCAATTGATCAATACACAGATTTCCTCGGTTCAATTAAATGACGCTCCCTCGCATATTCCATATCAGGTTTTTGTGGTGATGAATTGGAGAATAATTTTTAAACAATTAAAAAATTGATTGTGACTTGCATTGCATATTACCTTTTTGCTGACGCTTTTGAAATTAATCATTACAATTTTGATCAATCTTGCAAATTGCATAATGTGTAGAAATGGAATGACTTCAAGTAATAAGTCTTTGAATATGTATGAAAGCAACCATTCGAAGACTTGTTTATGGCGCAACCATGTACATATAAAAGTTAATAACTTGTTTATGGCTAGGAATATTCACAAATTTCTCCATTGGCGGGTTCACCAAATTTTATTTTTTTTTTTAGAAAAAAAAAAAGTGAGGCAAGATTCTTCGTTTTCAAACAGACTGAGTGGACTAATTCTCGCCTTGTTTCAAATAAACACTATAAAGTATAAACCCAATGCCCACAAAAATGACGATAGCCTAAATCGTTTATGACTTAAGCCCGCGAAGGAGCAAATGGAAGAAGTTAATTTATTCAAACCAAAACACAAGTAGTTACAAAGTCATAATGGGAAGTTTCAATTTCATAAGGTTTCCTTAATCAGATTGAGGACAATTTACATTAATGTTCAATTTAATTAATATGGAAATGATCTTTCTTGTATGTGTTTGTGTTTTTTTTTCTAATTTTAAGTTAATTTATATATATCATATTGTTTTGTTTCTTTACTTTTATTCGGTGTTTCAATCTACATGCCATATCACATCCCACACTAGAAAGGCTATGTAGCCAATCTTTTTTGTTTTTGAAAAGCCCAATCATCAATCTACAAATATCACATCTCTTCATTTTATCGAGAACGAGAAATTCTGAAGTAACGTATCCTACAATCCAACAATTTGAACCATTTATTGAATAATTTAGTCACCTCTAATCATAATTTTGCATCACAAATTAATATACATATGTTAAATACTAATAGTGCTTTATGTCGTACTTGGCACATTTAAACAAGTTCAACACACACATCAATGTATCAAATCAATACACAATCCTCAAATGTAATAGGTTTTCTTCCAAATATTTTCAGATACAGAGAATCTTTATTTGTAAGCTTAAAACAAGAACAAAAACGAAATAAACTATTACGTTTCACATTAGGAAATTAATTTTTTTTGAATAATTTTTTTTTTTCATATTTGCAGAGTGTCCACCGTCAACAACGATTACTAACCCTCCTCGCTGAATTGTAAGCAGCTTGATGGGTGGGACAACTGACTAAGTATTTAAAGTTGCTCCATGCCTATGGCGAGATTCAAACTCTCGACCTATGATTAAGGATAGAAGAGTCCCTTCTATTCCACCATAACCACGGTGGTTTTACTTTGGATAATTGTAGAACTGGTTTTGGTTCTCGAGTAGCTGGTGCGGTTAGCCCACTCAACCCCTCAACCGATTGGGCTTTCAATTGAAAGGGAATCTTACACCATTTGGCCATTTGGGCTCCGTCTCATATCTTTCTTCAATGCATATTCAATTCACAATTGCTTCGGCACATGCCTTGCCTCCCAGTTACTATGTTCAACATAACTTTACGTGAGAGTCCAACCCAAAAACATCACGTAAAAATTATTTTTCTAGTCAAATTCGATAGATCCATTTATCATATATCGAATTATCAAAATAAATGTGAAGTTTACGGACGACTGGAATTGAGATTTCTCTCCTTGGTGAGACATCAAACTTGAGTGTCCTGGGGTATATGCTTTGACAAATTCGATTGTATGATTATTATTTTTGAACTTGTAATTAACGTTGGCTTTCTGTTTTAGGGTTAGATTTCTTATGTTCAAAGGAGAATCTCTACATACCTATACTTCAACAAGATGTTCTTTGGGATACAGTTATTTGTGTTAGTCAACTTTTTTTGAACGTAAATATAAGTCGTTTTTCGTTGTTGAATCTCTTGACTAGAATAATTCAACGCACTCGAGATGATGTTTGTAACCAAGACAAATTCATGGGAAAATTATATCATCCTTGAGCTAGCTTTAGAAAACTTGTTAAGACAGGAAATCTAGTCATTGTCATATTGATTGGTTAATGGTAACATTTGGCAAAAAGGAATATCATCATCAAAGTTCTCATGTCATTAGTTTCACTTTCATCTCAATTGTGACCTTCTTGCACTTTTTACAATAATATAATGTTTTCATATTCCGTCTTAAAAAAAAAAAAAGAAAAGAAAATCATGCTTTGTTGAACATACATAAAACATTACTCTTTTTTCTTTTTTTTCTTTTTTTTTTTTGGTTACAAATGGAGGAGTCTTAAGCAATGTTGGAATGTAGTTGATTTTATTGCACAAATGTTTTGGATCACGATATAAATCTTTCTTCCAAATAAGAATCCAGCTTTTGTTGGAAATTCAGGCTTTCATGGTTAATTAGGTAGGCTAATCTAAGGAAAGTGGAGACGATCACCTTTAAATTCTTCGATATAAAAATTGCATACCCTTAATCCTAAAATAATTGCTAAATTTTTTGCACTTGCCACAAAAAAAAAAAAAAGAATAGTTAATTTGTTATGTGTATAAAGTTCGATTCCAACCTTCTCCACAAGAAGTGAAACTTTGGCAACATGAAGTAGTACTGAGTTTACAAAAAAGGAAGAGATGGTTTCTAAAACAAGTATTTCGGTTAATTTAATTTACTAATCAATTAACTCAGTACCCCACATACATATGAAATGTCCGGTTTAAAATAAAGAATGAATCAAAAAGAGTTGATTCGTCAAATTGTCGCAATGTCCGGACAGAATTATTTTTGGCCGGCAAATTGACGCCTGCTGCTTGGACGGCAGTGTAATTTATACGGTATTTACTAAGTTGACATTGGACTCGGCTTCATAAAAGGAGAGGGCCCTTTTCCCAAAGCCAAATTCATTCAGATCCTAATATTCCACCGTAGTGAAAAAAGAAAAAAAAAATAAAAATGGGCTCAGCTTTCAGTTGCTGTGGCTCAGAAAAGGTCGACCAAGGTGAAGGGTACGTTACTGAGTTGAAATTAGAACTTTAGTACTAAAATGCGAGAGGTTTTGTTGTATTTGGTAAATTTTTACATTGTTTTTATTTCTTTCCCTTTTGCAGGTTGTCGACGAATACGAATGGAAGCCGCGGTGGTGGTTGGAGAATATTTACGTACAAAGAGCTGCATACTGCGACCAATGGCTTTAGTGATGATAACAAGCTTGGAGAAGGTGGATTTGGGAGTGTGTATTGGGGTAAAACCGCAGATGGACTCCAGGTGATTAAATTCTAACAATATTTTGGTAATATTTAAACTTCAATAATTTCATTGATTAAGTGTAATAACGAATTTGTATGGACGGCGTTTTAGTTTTGAATAATGTTTGTCGCGTAAGAAAAAATGAAACAAATTACATATATACGTATAAAAAATTGTCATGTGTAACGCAGATAGCAGTGAAGAAATTGAAATCACTGAATTCGAAGGCTGAGATGGAGTTTGCCGTGGAAGTTGAAGTCCTTGGAAGGGTGCGACACAAGAACCTTTTGGGACTTAGAGGCTATTGTGTTGGAAGTGAACAAAGGCTGATTGTCTATGATTATATGCCAAATCTGAGTCTACTTTCGCATCTTCATGGCCAATTTGCTAATGAAGTTCAGCTGGATTGGAGAAAGAGGATGAAAATTGCCATTGGATCCGCTGAAGGATTGCTGTAAGCTCAAAAATTTTAATTTAACATCAATTTCGTTTGTGTATTCAATTTCTACCTGTACATTTCGTATACTTCGCAATTGTGATTATGATCGTATTTATCCTAAAATGAGATGTTGCGTTGACTATTAGTTTTTTGTTAATAAATTGTCTCAAGAAAAATAGTTTTCTTCGTCCCAAAAAGACTAAAATGTCCAAATGGTCCCTTACATTTGGGCTTACTTGAATTTGCGTCCCTAACATTAATATTTCAATATCATAGTCTCAAACGTCATGTTTTCAAACTTTTTGGTCCCATTTCACTGTTTCCGACCGTTGACATGTCGGAATCAGTGGTATTTTCATCTTTTAATTTAATTTGAAATTTCATTAAAATTTTTAAATCATTAAAATATTTTAAAATTAAAATTTTATTATTTAATTGTTAAAATATTATTTATTACTTTAAAATATTATTATAAAATTTTAAAAATTACAATATTTTCAAAATTAGTTTTTTTCATTTACCATTTACTTTAAGTACAAAATAAATGGTAATTATGTTGTACTTTTAACTTTAGGCCTACTGTAATTTAAAAAATTTACTGAACTACAGTAAATAATTCAAAATTAAATTTTAAAAAAAAAATAAGATTTTTTTTTACTTTCAATGATAATTATGATAAACTTTTAACCTTGAACCCCCAGTTACTTAAAAAATTAGCCGAATTATAGTAAATAATTCCAAATTCAAAATTTATCGAATTACAAAAGTCAAAAATCTTGGTTTTGTATTTTTTTTTATAAAAAATTGAATTTTGAATTATTTACTGTAACTAGGTAAATTTTTTAAGTTACAGTGGGACTAAGGTTAAAAGTGCAATGTAATTACTATTTACGGTTTATTGTAGCGGTCAAAATAAAAAAAAAATCTTAGTTTTGCTTTTTTTAAAAAAATAAATTAAATTTTAAATTATTTACTGTAACTCGATAAATTTTTTTAAGTTACAGTGGATCCAAGATTAAAAGTGCAACGTAATTACCATTTAAGGTTTACTGTAATGGTCAAAGTAAAAAAAATCATGGTTTTGCTTTTTCTTTTTTTTTAAAAAAAAATTAAATTTTAAATTATTTACTATGACTCGGTAAATTTTTTAAGTTACAGTGGACCAAAGGTTAAAAATACAACATTATTACCATTTAGGCTTTATTGCAGCGGTCAAAGTAAAAAAAGAAGTCTTAGTGTTGCTTTTTTTTAAAAAAAATTGAATTTTGAATTATTTACTGTAATTCGGTAAATTTTTTTAAGCTACAGTGGGTCCAAGGTTAAAGTGTAACATAATTATCATTTAGGGTTTACTGTAGCGGTCAAAGTAAAAAAAAAATCTTGGTTTTACTTTTTCTTTTTTTAAAAAAAATTGAATTTTGAATTATTTACTATACTTTGGTAAATATGTTTTAAAAAAAAGTGCAATATAATTACCATTTATTGTGTACCCAAGGTAAATGGTAAATGAAATAAGTAATTTTTAAATTTTATAATAATATTTTAAATTAATAAAATATTTTAACAATTAAATAATGAAATGTGAATTTTAAAATATTTTTAATGATTTAAATTTTAATAGAAGTTTAAATTAAATTAAGAGACGAAAATACTCCTGATTCCGGCATGTCTACGATCCGAAATAGTGAAATGGGACAAAAAAAAGTTTGAAAACATAATATTTGGGACCACAACATTGAAATGTTAATATTAGGGACGTAAATTCAAGTAGACCCAAATGTAAGGGATCATTTAGACATTTTAATCTCCCAGAAATATAGTAGACTGTTTTTCAGGGACAGAGACAATCACGATTACCTTGTAAGGCATCATTTACAGAGATGAATGATGGTATTCTATGACAAGTTCTTATGTGAAATTAGTCTAATTATTTTTTCCATTTTTTAGGTACTTGCACCATGAGGTAACTCCCCACATCATTCACAGAGACATTAAGGCAAGCAATGTGCTACTAGACTCAAATTTTGAGCCACTGGTAGCCGATTTTGGGTTCGCGAAATTGATTCCGGAAGGAGTGAGCCACATGACAACTAGGGTGAAGGGCACCTTAGGATACTTAGCACCAGAGTATGCAATGTGGGGAAAGGTCTCAGAGAGTTGTGATGTTTACAGTTTTGGAATCCTGTTGCTAGAACTCATCACCGGCCGAAAGCCAATCGAGAAACTCCCTGGTGGCGTAAAAAGGACCATAACCGAGTGGGCGGAGCCCTTGATCGCGAAGAACAAGTTCCGGGATCTTGTTGATCCGAAACTTAGAGGCAATTTCGACGAGCATCAGCTCAAACAAGCTATAAATGTGGCCGCATTGTGTGTTCAAGGTGAGCCAGACAAGAGGCCTAATATGAAAGAAGTTGTGAGTTTGCTTAAAGGGAGTGACCCTAAAGTCTCAACAATGCAATTGAGGCTTCAAAGTGTGAAATATGGGGATGATTTGTTGGCTCTTGATCAAACAAGTGATGATGAGAAAGATAGGAATCATGAAGATCAAAGTAGTGCTTATGGTGTTTTTGATGCAATTGGGATGCAAAAGATGAATGATCCTTACAGACATTATGCAAACAAGAAGGTGGACAGATATGGCAGAAATTAATTAGAGACAGAAAGGATAATTTCCATTTTTTGTTATGGTTTAATATACAAATTTGGAATATATTATGTCAAGAGTAATGGAGAAAAGGATTAGTCACCGCTTATAATGTGGATACCTTGCGATATGCCAACAAAAAAAAAAAAAAGAAAGTAATGGAGAAATATTTAGCATCTACTATTTACGTTTTTCTTTCTTTTTTCTTTCGTCTTTGCAGATCATAAACTGATGTTCTAATTTGTTCATACGATATGTATTTGCGTCTTTTACCTCATAATGTACTTATAATTTTCATCTGTTTTGCTTGGTTTTCATTGAAATATTATGGACTAAGTTTTAGGATGGGAGTAATAAAACTAAAACACTAAAACTAACTGAATCGCATATTCTTTAAATTAAAGGTAAATACAAAGAGCTTGTGATCCTTTTTGTTTTTTTAACAAACAGGACGGCACGAATATTTAATTCTATCAATTAGAAACTAAACAAACTAAATAAGGCGTCTTAGTTTTTGTGAGAGGAATCAAAGTCGTCTCTGATGACTTACATTTTAGATTAATTATTTGTCCATACTTTCTCAAAAATTGTCTTAAGTAGGTATTAATTATTTGTTTGTTTATTTTGAAGTAGCCAGCATGCAAAATTGTGAAAAGATAAATTATAAAACTTCTGTCCTTTCTATAAACAATTTTAACTCATAATACAAAAGAATACAGACACAAGAAATGATATTAACGAAAAAAATATTTTATCCAATAAACTGTTCACCAGCTTGTATTTCGACAATATCATTGTGCTACTAGAATCCTGACATATATTTCTAAACGGAAATTTTCAAATTTAGATTAATTTCAATCGAAGTAAACACAAGTTTCCTTTAAATAGATAAATCTTTCCTAACAAATATTTTATAACACCCAACTTTTGGAAATTTCAACTACATCAGTTAACATTAAAGTACAACATAAGAGCACATAAACACTAGGTCTATTGGGCTTAGAATTAGGTTACTTAGAGAATTAGTCACCGTTTTATTATAAATTACCTATTACTAGTTAACCTACTACAACTACGAACAACTTTAATTATGTAATCCACCCCTATATTAAAGGGTGGTCTCTTTCTTATTTGGGACAAGTTCTCTCTGGGCAATACAATAATAATATTCTTTATATTTTCTTACTTCTTCGAAACCCTAATTTTTAGTTGCTGCCTATCCTAAAGCAGCGTGTGAATTTTAACTTTGTCAAGTATTACTTTTGCATCCTCAAAATAATTAATTATATAACTATTTGTGGACGGATGAAGTATTAGTCAACAAGACGTACAAAACATTGGAGGCTTTGGACGGGTACGTTCTTGGATTGTGGACACAGGACAAAATTCCAACTTCCCAAAACAAGCTGCAAAATGGAAGGCGCCGGTTCACTCTATTCTTATTCAACATCAAAATTTTCAACGGGTGTGTATATTCTTTCCTCTTGTTTTTTGAAGTAAGAACTCCGTCGATTACTCAACCTAGACGGCTAAGTCATTGTGTAGATTTCTGTCCAAAATAGAAGGACAATAAAAGAAAATTGTTTCCACATATTTTTTTCACATAAAATATTCACCATCAGCCAAAAGAACTAATGACAGTTTTTAAATTTTGGATCACATAAGTATTGTTGTGTTCTTTATGTTTTTATTTTTAGTTTTTTGGGTTTAAGTAGGGTTGTGTTCTTTTCATTCAAGCAAACCCACAACTCATCGTATTCAATCAATGATGAAAAAGAGAAACTCTCATTGAGGTGGCGGTTACTGCTTCTACCAAACTCAACTGAAACTAACTGCAACAACATTGTTGTCTCATGTAAACACAAACCAAAAGGCAATGGTGGCACCACCTCTTTAATTGACTTATGTAACAAGACATGTTACCATATAGATACGACTTCACCTTTGCTTATCCTTCAAAGCACCCCATCCCTCCCCCCAAAAAAATAAAAAATAAAAATAAAAATCAATTAATTTGCCATCATCCAAAACTCACAAAAAGTACATCACTTTACTACTAGTTCTTCACTTCCAACAATAAAATTAGAAAGCTTACATTATGCTTCTTAATCAAGACTATTTCAATGAATCCTCACGTGGGCTCACTTAACCAAATGCCTTAATCATTTGGTTCCTCCCTTTTCACATGCATTTAAATCCAATCTGTACCACATCAAGTGACAATGGAATTAAGTTAGTAAACACAGAGTGTCACACTACTTTGTAGAAACTTATTTGAGATAACAAGAAATAATGATTCCTCAATCGCAATCAGCCAAAATTCTTGTAGGAATACCTTTTGATGCTGAAGAAAGCAGCGAATTGCTCAATTGGGTAATCACAGTTCTTGCTCGGCCGAATGACATTGTGGTTGCTATGCATGTTCTTGGTTAGTACACTATGTTATACCTATGAAAATTACTCTTCAAATCAATCTGATCAAGAAACTGTTTTTTTTTTGTTTTTTTTTTTTTTTGGTTGCATCAGTTTTCTTAATGGTTGATTGAGTTTTTTCTTCAGTGTTCTTATAATTTTTGCATGTCAATTTTTCTCTGTTTCCGTAATGGAACAGTTGCAGAGGAGGCCAAGAAAAGCGGAAAGAAAGAAGATGACAAGAAATGGCAATCAATTGTTAAGTATCAGAAACAAATTCGTCAGGCAAAAGCTTTTGTCATCTCTATTACCAGTGAATTTGTAAAAACCTGCCAATCCAAACAGGTAAACAAAATGCACATAAAGTTACCGAATTTCGGAAGCCATTAAATCATAAAAGATGGTCTCTGATCAATTCAACTGTTTTGGTTCCAGGTGAGTTTGGAAGCCAGAGTTGGTTTTGGCTCCAGTATTGGAAGAGGCCTAACCAAGGAAGCAAAAAGCATTCCAGCTGATATACTTGTCATTGGTGGGAAAAAGGATCAGTCCTGCAAGTATGAAACAATGGAATCTCTCTTTCCCTTGTGACATTTTTATGATATCTTCATCATTATTCTCACATATTTCCTCTTTTGCAAATAGTATATCGCGCAGAATTAGACGGCATTGTTGTGAGCATGCTCCCGAAGGCTGTTCATTAGTGCTGGTTGGCAAACATTTACGCCAAAAATCGGCTGTCTGCCCAAATTCCAAACAGGTTCAAGGTACATTGTTCCTACTAGTGCGTTTTTTTTGGCTGGTCAATGATAATGCACCAATGTGTGTAACAAACGTGTTCTTTTTTTTTTTTTGTGGCAGAGTTTTGCAAGTCTAGGTCAAGGTGGTCTCAAAGTAGCTGCGACCTAAGCAACTCTGTTTCATCTGATGATGGAATTGCTGGCTCAAAATCTGAGAATGAAAAACGTTCGCCAAGGACAGTGTTGGAGGCTTTTGAAACAGAATCACAGGGCACAGGGGAGGATAGTTCTAGCATTGATGAAACAAGTGTCACAAAGTCTCCTATTGTGGTTAGTGAAATGAAAAGACAACCTGAACCTAAGAAGCCAATGTCGCCATTAAAGATTTTCTCGTCTTTCTTTCGCTCTCCATTCGACTCGAGTGCAAGAAAGAGAAATGATGCTTTGTTCAAAAAGGAGAAGCAGCAGCCTATGTTAAAGTGCTTTGGCTATGAAGAAATTGTAAATGCCACCAACAACTTCCACGACGGTAGATACTACACTTAGTTCCCTATTTTAGTCTATTATAGAAAACATGTAGTCATTGATTTGATAATTTCATTGGTGACTATGCAGAGAACATGGTTGGACAAGGAGGATTCTCTGAGGTTTATAAAGGTGTTCTTAAAGATGGGAGTATCATTGCAGTGAAGCGCCTAGCGAAAGACACGACGACAAACAAGGAAAATGACTTCCTGATGGAGTTAGGCATTATTGGACATGTAAACCACCCTAACACAGCAAGTTTAGTTGGCTGCTGTGTGGAAAATGGACTATATCTGATCTTCAAGTTCTACCCAAATGGAACCTTGGCATCAGCACTACATGGTAAATTTTCGAGTCAGATACTAACAATATCAAAAGCCTCATAAACAGATAGAATCAAGTGAAAGTCAAGCAAGTAAACAATGATGCTGAAAATGCATTTTGCTTTGCAGGCAAGGAATCCCAACCTCTTGAGTGGCCAATCAGATATAGAATCGCACTTGGAGTTGCAAGAGGACTACATTACTTACACAAATGTTGCAAACATCGAATCATACACCGCGATATCAAAGCCTCAAATGTGCTTCTAGGTCCAGATTATGAACCGCAGGTTAGTAAACATACTACATCAATTCCTCCGCACTTTTCCTCTGCCTTAACAGAATTTGAACATCACTAATTGACGATGCAAAATTTTCCATTATGAATGTAATCAGATTGCAGACTTCGGACTCGCAAAATGGCTGCCAAACAAGTGGACTCATCATGCTGTGGTTTCAATTGAAGGTACATTCGGATACTTAGCGCCAGAGTATGTGCTTCACGGGCTGGTTGATGAGAAAACGGATGTTTTTGCATTTGGAATACTCCTTTTAGAGATCATTACTGGGAGGAGGCCAGTGGATTCATCCCAACAAAATCTGCTTCTTTGGGTACTTTTCCTTCTATACCTTTCTTTCCTTCTAAAATTTTTCCCAGAATCAACAAACCAGTAACCTTATTCCATATACTTACTTGATGACTAATGATAAATCCATTTTCATCAAACAGGCAAAACCCTTGATGGAATCTGGAAAATTAAGTGAATTAGCTGATCCAAACTTAGAGAGTAACTATAGCATAGTAGAACTACATAGGCTAGTGCTTACTGCTTCATATTGCGTACGGCAGTCTCCATCAGGTCGACCTTCAATGACAGAGGTATATATCCACATTGTTAAAACATAATTCTTTGTAAATTTTGCGATTCTTGATGACCCTTTTTTCTTTTCCGGTTTCTTTTGTACATCCTCTTTTTTGATAATTAACTCTTTGTACTTAGGTTTTGGAACTGTTAACCTACGGAAATGACTCTGAAGCGGCAAGAAGTTGGAGGATACCAAAATTTACAAGTGATGAAATCGATGATTACTCTATGGTTTTTGGTTATCAACTTCCAGCAGATTTAGCTTTGGAGGATTAAGCTCTTACTACACCCGGATTTACGCACTCGGTATCCGAAACTAAACTAGTTAGCTAGCATATATAGCTATGACAAATTTCAGTTTTAGTTTTAGGCAGATTCGGTCTTTGGCAATTGGCATCAAATTAGAAATAGTATGCTGGTACGTCTCAGGATTATTTGGTAATTCAGTGGTCAATTTACAAGCCCAAAACCAATAAAGATCAATAATAAGAACAATAAAGATCCTAAGTAACAGTGTGGTTTGGTTACGTAAGTGATTCGTTTTGAAAGTAAAAATATCTTTTGCCTCACGCTAAGATGTAGATTGTAACATTTTTCTCTGTGATTGATCTCTATTTAACACCTACTAGGCCAAAAAAAAAAAAAGTGTTGAAAATCATCAGAAACATTGTGAATTTATTTATTTATTTATTTTCTAAATTAACCGGGACAGTCTATAATGGGTGTTTTATATTTTATTAACGGAAAAAAAGAGTTATAGAACAGTACTTAAAACTTACCTAAATGATGATGGATTGTCTTACAGAATATTCTAATATTTATTGACAATCTAGAAAAACTGTTAATCTTATCTAATAATATAATAAAATAGAAAACCTTTTTTTTTTTTTTGAAAAGAAGAAAACCTATATAATACGTAAATAAAGAACATTTTGTTGGTCGAGAGCAAGTAAATCCTGTGCAATAGTAGGCAGCAACTATTGATTCCCCGTCCGATCCTTGCTTTGACAAAAGTTAAGTAAGACATGGGCTTGGCGATACATAAGTTTTTATTTATATTTCCAAGGGTAGTTTTTCTTCTTCTTGATCAAGCTCTCTCTATCACCAAATTGTCTGCTCAAATTCAAATTAATTCACTTTGTGAATTTAAACCAAACACTTCAAATTCCATAAATCTGTTTTAACAATCATCAAAGCACCACTTAGAAAAAGAAATATGCACTGTTTATATCCATTTGGTCATGTCTCCTGCATTGTGGAATACAAATCACTGTTTTCAAATATTCTCACTATTCTAAAATGATTGTCCAGTTTAAATTTTTATTTTTAATACAACTTTAATTAAAAATATAAATTTAAATTGGAAAATTATTTTGGGGCAGACTGAATATTTGTTTACTTGTCTTATTTCTACAATTTTTTTTCTTTTTGTCCTAAAAAAGAAAAAGAAAAATACTACAACTTGGTTCTTCAACAATTAGAGCTGAACCAACCTTTTCCAGGCATTTTGGATCCACAATCTTAAAGCTTAAAAGCCCGTTCGGTAGCTAGATTTGCGGACTGGGCTGGTGCTACCATTTTTGGGGCCTTTGTAGCTATTGAGATTACCATGTTTAATATGAGGACCATCTGAGTTGGACAATAAAAAATATCATGTGATAAAAATATTTAAAGCAAAGTTTCTCAACATAAGAGTACAAATGATAATTGATAATAATATAATAATCATAGTGATAACAAGAAATGACGTGAACATGTCAATCAAGACTTGCCTAGAGTGGTTTAGTCATTTATGGTAGAATCTCCTAAATTACCTAAATTTGTATGTTTCAAACTCAACCTTAGATATATTTCATTTTTGTACTTGTTCAATACGAAATGAAAATTCTCTAGAAGAAATCTTTATTGACTTATTTTTTTATTAAAAAAAAAAAGATCATCATTTTAAGATAAAGGAATATTGATCCAAGTTTACTAACAAAAATCCTTGAACTGAAACATCTACTAATTCATTAATAATCACAACTGGTGAAGATACACCATTCCTTCATATGAGTTCCCAAAAAATAATACTCCCTCCGTCCCATAATTATTGTCCAGTTTTACTAAAATAAAAGATTTTATTTTTTGTCAAACTTAACTATATTTTACCTTAAACAACCGGATATACCCCGACATAAGTAATTGTTTAACCACTAAAATTTTATGGATAATGTTTTTTACTAAGGACAAATGTATAACTTGATCCACAAAAAGTCAAATTGGACAATAATTTTGGGACAAAATTTTTTGGACAAAGTGGACAATAATTATAGGACAGAGGGAGTAATAATAATAATAATAATAATAATAATAATAATAATAATAATAATAAAAACAAAACAAAACAAAACATCTCTCATTAAATCCGAACACGTCGAATTTCAACCCAGTGCTATCAAGTCTTATCCAATGCAACTCTCCCCTTGCATTGGCTTTTAGATATTTCAAAAAAAAAAAAAAAAAGAGAGATTTTCTTCTGCCTTTGGGTTTTAATAAATGTCCAAAAGCTAGATTTTAAAGTAGGAAGCAGACAAGTAAGAAGCAACTAATTAATAATAGTGTCTTCCATGGCGACAAATACTAGTATAAAGGAAGAAAAAAAAAAGAAAAACAAAAAAGAGGAGAAAAATATCATTGTGAAAATGAAGCAAGTGGGTTCGAATTCGGGTGGTGCACAACAGAAGAAGGGTCCCTGTTGTTGTAGCCGGAGTGAAACGGGTGGGTCCGACGTCGCACGTGAAGTCCATGCGCTATTGGACCAGCTTGATCTCCCCAATAGTGGAGCCCACACGACATGATTCTTGAGGGGGTTTTTCTGCTTATCCAATGTCGTATGCTTCGCTATTGAGCAATTAATTTGCTTTAATAAAAAGAAGGGGAAAAAAAAAGACCAACAAAGACGAAAAGTATATAAAAAGGGAAAATGACAACAATTTACTTTAAAGAGTAAGGTCCATGAACTTGCAATCAAAATAAAAATTTAATTGTTCATTCACTTCATTGTAGTGCGACATTATTAAGATTAAAATTCATATGTATTGACAAAATTAGGGTCCTTTTTTACAATAAGTAAAAGTATGTTAAATTTTGAACATAAATTTATATAAGTAGCCAAATTTCGCATTTCGCGCTGCTTCAAAGAAATACATGATTTTTTTTTTAGCTCTAGCCATTCATTTAATTCGAGTAGACCCGTTACTAGAACCTAAACCTGTCACAAGTAGTATCTCTATAGTTAGATTATTGCATTAAAAATGGAATATAGAGTAGATATACTCTGCTTGAAATTCTCTTTATTATGAAATTAACAATGTAATAATAAAACCTTTCTCTCTCTCACCTTTCCATGGCAAAGCGCAAAGTGAGGGCTAAGAACGCGGCCAAAGGAAGCGAAATAGAGTGTGAGGGTAACAAGGAAGATGGTACACCGAGTGGATTAGGGGATACATGCTATGAGAAAAGGGATCTGATTGTCAAACCAAGTGGATCTGGGGTTGCGATTGAGTTCATCAAAGAAAGGGAGTCAAGCATCAAAGGTTGAAGGCGACTTGAGTATGGAACAGCAGGCGAAGAGATTAAGTGAATTGCTAGGGGTCAATACGGCCAGGAAACTGGAGTGGCCGGAAGAGCATCAGAAACCGGCGAACGCTTGGGATACTTTTGATATAAAGAAGCTCAGAAATGTGGGGATTCCGTTGGATTTTATACCGCCGGAAGAACAAGAGGGCATAAAGGTGGCATTAGTGCAACAGAAAGATGTTCAATCAAAGATGGAGTACTGGCAATCATCCATAATCAGCTTCATGCTCAGCGCGAATCCGCCGTATAAGATTATGGACAGCTATTATCAAAAATTATGAAAGGATCTGGGAGTGGATAAAGTTGTCTTCCTACCAACAGGGCTATATGTTATAAGATTCCATACTCTAGAAGCAGCGGAGGAAGCTTTAACAGCTCCAATAGACTACGTGGGGAACCATCCAGTTATTATCAAGCCCTGGAAGGTGGAAAAAGGGGTTAACCATAAGGAGCTCACACATGTTCCGGTGTGGATCCAATTCCACAACCTTGAACTCAAATTCTGGAATCCGGTAATCCTCAGTCGAATCGCCAGCACACTAGGTAGGCCAGTTATTGTTGATAGCTTAACTGCCTCGAAAGATAGAGCAACTTATGCTAGAGTATTGGTAGAAGTAGAAATTCAGGAACATCCGCCTCTAGTAGCACACTTTGTTGATGAAACTGGAAAGTTAATGGAGCAACAAGTCTATTACGAGTGGAGACCAACACAATGCCAACACTGCAAGCAGTATGGTCATGGAATCGAGGACTGTCGAAGGAAAATGCCTGTTCAAACTATGGGCAAAATAGAGGTGATAGCTCCCCCAGATAAAACCAAAAGCTCAGAAGCATGGAGAAAAGTTGACAGGAAACAGGAGCTGGAAAAATCAATGGGGGAAAGAAAAGAGAAAGCTAGAACTGACCCATGTGAGGGGCCAAGTCTCAAACAACAATACAGAGAGACAGGGGGTAACATAGAGACTCCAAATGGTTTCAGGGTTTTGCTGGCAGAGAAAAGTCATGACCTGAACCTTACCGTAGATACAAGGAATGTCAGCCAAAAAGCAATGGAGAAGAAAGATAGCTGCAAAGTGAGTGATCTCTCTCCAGATCCAGGTAATCATGGATAAGTTTTTACATTGGAATATTCAGGGTTTGAATAGCCCCATTAAGCAAAAAGAACTAGTTAGATTATGTAAATTAGATAAAGTAAGCATGTTGAGTATTGTAGAAACCAAAATTATCTCTGAAAGACTGGTAGAAATGATGAGTAAACACTGGAAGGGATAAAAGTTTACTGCTAATTATGAAAATCAGTCTAGAAGTCGAATTTGCATAATATGGCAGCCTAGTTATTGTAAAGTTACTATTGTCTCAAAAAGAGCAGCTTATTCGCTGTTGGGTGGAGTTGGTAGAGAAAAAAGAGGGATTTTACTACACTGCTGTTTATGGTAAAAACCAGAAAATAGATAGAGATCAACTATGGGAGGATCTAATCGAGATTGGACAGACTATTAATGAACCATGGGTGGTAGTGGGTGACTACAACAACATACTAGCTGAGGAGGATAGACTAGGAGGGAAAGAAATTACTCTGGCAGACATACAAGGTTTTAAAAGATGTATAGAAGAATGCGGATGGCAGGACCTAAAATACATGTGGTCGAATAAAACAGATAGGAGAAGGACATATATGGTCACGCATTGATAGGGCAATGATCAATGGTCACTGGTTGCTCAAGTATCCAAGAGCAATCACAACTCTTATGCCAGAGAACATCTCAGATCATACACCACTGATTATTCAACTGGATGACTATGCAGCATATAAGCATAGGTCACTTAAGCTTTTTAATATGAGGTGCTTAAATGAAAAATTCAATCAAATAGTGGAATGGGGATGGAAGGAAGAAATATGGGGAACCAAGATATACCAGTTAGTCAGCAAATTGAAGACACTGAAACCAGCTGAAAGAGTTAAACGAAATAGAATTCCAATATCCAGCAACAAGAAGTGGAAGCAGTAGAAGAACTGAAGAACATCCAAAAGTTGGTACATCAACAGCCTGAGGATGAACAGCTGCAAAAAATGGAGAAGGAAGCCAGAGAAAGATTCTTCATGATCAGCAAGGCCACTGAGAGTTACCTGCAGCAGAAAGACAAAGAGCTATGGATCAAAAAAAGGGGATTCGAACAATGCGTACTTCCATGCATGAATGAAGATAAAAGTTGCACAAAATAGAATTTGCTACATCATGGAGGAGGGAGAGTTGGTTGAGGACTGGGACAAAGTCCGAAAGCACTTTGTTGATTTCTTCAAATGCCAACTTGGGCAGCAAAGTCCACGAAAAACAGCTCAAATGGAGATATTCCAGAAGGGAGCTACATTGTCATGACAGCAACAGCTTAGCCTCCTGAAGCCAGTTACTGAACAGGAAATCAAAAAAGCTATATGGTCAATACATAGCTGCAAGAAACCTGGTCCCGACGGGTAAGGGAGTGAATTTTTTAAAGGAGTATGGAAGATTGTGCAAAAAGATATGACTGGTGCTATAATGGAGTTTTTTTGAAAAAGGCAGATTACTGAAGCAAGTGAACTCCACAGTTTTGGCGTTAATCCCCAAAACTGAGAATTCTCAGAATGCATCAGAATATAGACCCATTGCATGTTGCAATGTGGTCTATAAATGCATATCCAAGGTCATTTGTGAAAGGCTGAAATGTATTCTCCCAAGCTTAGTTGACACAAACCAGAGTGCCTTTGTCAGATAGAGGTTAATACTGCACAATGTTCTGATTACATAGGATCTGATTCACCTATAGAAGGAAAAACACCAGTGGCTGATGTTTGATGAAGATTGATCTCAGAAAGGCGTATGACTCAGTCGAGTGGAGTTTTGTGAGTGAAATGCTACGAGGATATGGTTTTCCAGAAAAAGTGGCTGACAAAATTCTAGAATGTGTGACAACTACATCATTCTCTGTAAACCTGAATGGGGAGCTGAGTGGTTTCTTCAAAGGGCAACGGGAACTGATACAGGGAGACCTTATGTCTCCCTTACTATTTGTACTCATTATGGAGTATCTAACTAGACTCCTGAAAGAGGCTGCAGAAGATGAAGAGTTCAAGTTCCACCCGCAATGCAAAAACCTAAAATTAACGAACATATGCTTTGCATACGATCTTATGATATTCTGCAAAGCTGATGTTCATATAGTGGAGAAGATAGTGGATGTGTTGAAAGGTTCTCTGATGCCACAAGATTGGGTGCAAACTCTTTGAAGTTGGACATCTACTTTGGAGATGTAGGAGAGGAGTTGAGAAGCCAGCTATGCAGTATAACAGGTTTCAGGGAAGGTAAATTCCCAATGAAGTATCTAGGCATCCCAATTTCTTCGAGAAAGTGGAACCAGATGAAGTGTGAAGGTACAGAAAATCTCAGGTACAATCAAATGTTGGAGTTCACGGCATTTGAGCTATGCCGGGAGATTGCAACTGGTAAACTCAGTGTTACTGATGATGAGCAATTATTGGTCATCAACTTTTATCCTCCCTCGGAGCATCACTGAGAAAATAAACAAGATTTGTAGAGCTTATTTGTGGGGGATTAAGGATTCAGGGAGGAGCATGGCACTTGTTAGCTGGGATCAAGTATGTAAAACTAAGAAAGAAGGAGGTTTGGGTGTTAAAGATGCTAGACCATAGAATGAGGCTGCACTGTTGAAGCAAATCTAAAACCTAGCGCGTAAAGAGGACAACTTATGGATCAAATAGATCCATGAAGTTTACATAAAAAAGAAAGACTTCTGGGAGATGGAAGCCAAAGATGACTCCAGTTAGCACTGGAGTCAACTCATCAAACTGAAGAACAAGGCGAAAGGGGAGTTTGAGGAAAACAAATGGAGGCACACACCCTCTGGTAAGTATAATATCACTTCTGATTATTACTGGCTTGTTGGTATAGGTGTAAAGGAGCATGCAGCCTTGTTTATATGGTCCAGATTTAATGTGCCAAAACACTCGTTTATTGTTTGGTTGTTGTGGAAAGAAGGCTACTGACCAAGGAGAGATTGTCTAGGCTAAACATTAATATTGATGATTCTAATTCTGTGTTCTGTCACTAACATGTGGAAAGCCTAGAGCATTTATTTTTTGAATGTCGATTTGCTGCTACTGTTATTAGTAAGATAGAACAATGGTTAGGGTTAAAACCCCTGTCTGCAAAACTGAATGTTTGGAGGAGAAGAATCATGGTAATTTGGAAGTCAGTCAGGTTGAAAAGAAGCATTCTGTTTGCTGTCATGGCTGCTTGCATTTATAAAATCTGGGAGGAGAGAAATGCCCGAATATTCACAGGAAACACTAGAAACGAGGAGGCCCTGTTGCAGCTTGTACATAAGGAAATACAGTGGAGATTTGAGGTACTTGAGGACAAGAAGATGTCTTCCTCAGAATAGAGAATTTTGATACAGTACTTAAGCTGATATTTTGGATATTTTGTACATAGAGATAGGCTCTAGATGACAGTAAAAAGATGTACTAGAGGCTTTTTGGGCTTGTAAATATGTACTTATTTTGCAGAAGGTATCAATATATTTACAATTTACTAAAAAAAAAATTAACAATGTAGAGTAGATATACTCTACATGAAATTGCATTAATAAGATAACTTTATAATGAAATTCTCTTCTTCCTAAAATAATACGGAGTATTACAATAAATATAACAATATTTTTGAAGAGAAAAAAATACTCCTTCCGATTCTTAATATAAGGAATTTTGATTTTGTCATAAGTTTCACTTAATACGCACTTTTAATTGTCGAAAAGATCTTTAAAATATATTTTCGCATTCGTTGTATTCTCTTTATTATTATGAAACATTTTTAAGATTTTGTTGTTAATTAAAAATACGCATTAAATTAAACTTAGGACAAATCAAAATACTTTATATTAAGGACCGGAGGGAGTTCGTGTAATGAGAAAAAAAAGAGTTTGCATGCGCAACAGCCAACAAGAGTGAGAGAGAGATTAGAGCGTGATTGTTAGGGCATTAGGCTGGAAACCAGAGCCACTTTACGATACACAGCTCAAATTGCGTGCCCCAAGTCAAATGGTTACTATGTCTTTGAAGGTTTGTCTTAATTCGAAATGATTTTTGACGTCCAAGTGTTTGATGGTAATGTGTCGTATGAAGCTTCTGGACTACAGCCATTCTTCGGCGGATCGAAGTTGAAACCAACATTAATTAAAGCGTGATTTGTGAACATGCACTCACTATGGTATTCATTATTCAACAATTTGGATGGGATGGATATGAATCTTCGATCTACTGCTTCTCATTTTCCTACATGCGAATCATGACTAAGTAAACGGATTCATTCCACAGATATCCTTTTACTCTTCTTATTCAATCCCATTCGTAGGGGTTTTTTCTTATAACATAAGGGGTATTGTTATAATTATAAGGCACAAATTAACATTAAAATTAGTTCAATTTGTATTTTATAATTAAGACTAGAGGGAATATTATAGTTTATAGCCAGTAAACATGTCTGCTCTATATCCTCTCAAAGAAATAGTTTCATAGTGGAAAATGGAATGTTTTGTTTAGCCAGTGAAACTCTATATTGTCTTGTATATGGTTATCCAGATGCAAATATATCTACTACTACATCTTACTTGTGCTGTGTTTTATTTTAAATGTTTGGTTTTATATAATTAAGTTAAAACGAGATAGTGAATAATTATATGCAACGCAATCAGTATCTCGTTTCATTATAAATTTTTTATCGTTATCTTCGTTTATAATTGTCAGTAAACATGATAAGGTACCACTAATTAATTCCAAGATAATTATGAGAAATCACTCACTCATATATATAGCAAATCATACCATAGATGGTAGTTTGGAGTTTAGACAGCACATATATCTCACATCTGTAAGTAGAAAGACATTACCTGGAAAGGAAATGGAACGGACAAAAAGCTAAAAAGAATTTGCTAATAATTAATAAAAGCTACTACCCTTTTTCCTGAATTGCCAGTGTGCCACCTTAAAACGAAGACAAAAATGACAATAATTAAAAAAAGATTCAAAGTGTTAACCCTTAATTAACAGAGAAACAATACAAAATTAGCATCCCTTTACTGACAAAACAAACCTATGAAACCCTTCATTTTATAAGAGTAGCTTTAAACGGGTAACTTACACGTTGCTAGTTCTCGAAGAATCAATCCAAAAGCTTTAGAAGTTAGAACTACAATTTTTAATATTATCTTGAAGTCGATTTCAAATAAATCATACAACGAATTAGCAAACTACCTAATCACCCAAATTTGCATTGATTATTACAATAAAGTCATATCATTGTGACGTACCAAAGCATCAACCGTTGTGCTTCAAAATTTTCATTTTTAAAACTATTTTCATTCCAAAATAATTATTTAGTATTTTGTAATATGTACAGTATGTATAAAATTCATATTAGAACAATAAGAAATTAATAACTTTTAAAAACTTCACCAATCATGGCACGTATCAAATTAAGTATGTATGTAAAATAAAGAGAAAATTCGTGTTAAGGGCATTGGAAAAAATCAAAATTAGTATTAATTCATTAATACTAATTTAAATTACTTCTAATAATTTTTAAGTTATTTAAAGACTATCTTATCATTCATTTTTAGGTAAAAATCCTGTACCCTTCCTCTTCCAAGGGGTTGTTCCTCCGGAGCTAATTAATTAATCGGCCCTTCCTCTCCCATTTGACTTAATTAGCATTCTACATTTGTACACCAATCTGATATTACTTTTTTGGGTTATAACTAATAATAACTACACCAATTAAAAATGGAGTAGTAAAACTGCGTTTTGACTTTTGACCACTTACAAAAGGGAAACCACAGCAGCCAAAACTTGGTCAGAACAATCAGCTGAAAAAAGCATGAAATTAGAAAGTTGGAAAGGTGGAAGGGATTGATTGGACCACATGTTCGACTCCAGTAGCTTCTTACTTCACCATGATGCCACATTATTGCCACTTCCATTATTATCTCTTCGTTGAAGCTAAAACTTGAATAAATATTAGCATTATATTCAACCAAAGTGATGAGTCAGACTTTTCCAAAGAGAAAAAAATAGAGATGTGGGTACCCGCTAGTCAGCCAATCAGCTTTAAGATTTAGATCCACTTTCTATTATTAGGGGAGGAAGCCTATCATATCCACCACTCAGCCGACTCCATCATCATTCTTCTTCTTCTTCTTTTACATTTTCCATTTACCAAAATGGTATATCTATAATCCTGATGATGATCATCATTTGCAGACTAATTTGGAATGCAATCATTTAACTCTATTTCATATATCTTAAAATAAGAGTCAGATTCTTTTCTTTTTTTTTTATCTAAAACATAATGCAAATAAGTTTATTATTAGAATTTTATTTCTTTTCCTTCTCGCTTTTGTTTAAAGGGAAAACAATAATAAGGATAATATAATTTATAACTACTGATGTTAAGTACCAAATGTATTCATTTGAGCTGTTTGGATGACGGAGTTGTAAGATTTGGTATCACGAAAAAGATTGTTATTATGCTATGAGATCAAAGGATTAACATCCTTTGTGATTTACAATTTTAACATGCATTCACTTTTTATTAGATTCCAAATGATACTTACTTTCTAATCTATTGGTTTAAGGACAAAAATTATGTTTAAGAGTCTCTCATGGGTACAAAATTGTACTCAAAGTCAAACTGCCTATACAATTTCTCAAAAATTTTAGAAAGTCAAACCTGAAGCTCAAGAGTAAGATTAAATTGGGTTAATGAAATTATTTATTCCGGGGGGAAAAAAAAAAATGTCCATGATCCTTGGAGATCCTCAATATGTACAATTGAAAATGTTTGGTTAGTGAAAATTTAAGATAATTCGCACGAAAATATATTCCATCTTAGCATTTCTTCCCGGAAATTGACAATAATATTACAGGTCATCACAATACAAATTATACAACAGCACTATAGTATTTCGATTTTCCCTCCAATCAGAACGATGGGACGACGCCGTATCTTGATTCCGGGAAGAAAGTAGTCGCCGGGCTAGTACACAACATCCGATCAATATCGTCGGAATCAATGGTTTCAGTCCGCTTCGCAAACCGTCCCTTGATCCTCGGCCTAGTTTCTGCATAAGCCTTTCTCGAAGCATAACGAATCGTCTTCTCGAATTTCCGATTCTTCCGTTTCTCTCTGTACCTTAAAACTCTCGCTTCCCTGTCCAAACCAACTCCTTGATTACTACTACCAGATGACGCTCCACCACCCAAATCAACGCTGCTGCTCAAACTTTGCCCAAATGGGTACGAGATTTCGGACATGGAACTCCCATCTGGAACAACTCCCACATCCAACGACGATGATGAAACCTGAAAATTTCCAAAAAAATTTGAAAACATAAGACTAATGAAACAGAGTGCTCTTACTTTTTTTTGTTTTTGTTTTTTTTTCTTTAATGGCCAGCGAGAATCGAACTCTCAAACTCCTAGTAATAACCATCCCCATACTAATCCCCTGACCACCCCACCCAACCCTCCAGAGTCCTCGTAAGTCGTAACTATTATGCAGTATATGAAATTAAGAATCGACGGAGTACTTACACTGTGACTAATAGATGCGGCGTGGTAGCTGTGATGATTGTAAGAACTGATATTGGATTTTGTGAAGTCGATCTCAAAGTGTTTTTCGGTTGGATTATTACAAGGAAGAAACTGAGGCTTGATTGTTGTTGTCTGAACAGGGACAACCCCATCAGTTGCAGCGCTGTAATTGTTTTGGAAACTCGGGCAATCGAAGTCAAGGTAGTTATCAGATTCCGAGAATAAAAACTCCATCGATTTGATGTCCTGAGCATCTGAATGAGTTTGAGCTTTCTGATTAGTCCACGCTGAAACAGCACCAGCAGCGTCATGAGAAGGATAGAAATCATGCGCCACGCACGTGGTCGTCGTCTGAGAAACGTTGACTAAGTGGTCCATGTCGTCGGAAGTGGGAGTAATAATGTTGTTATTCGGCGGCGGGAGTAAAAAAGATGCCGCCGTTGACTTGACCACGGACTCGGCCGTCTCGTAAAACGGCACCACCGGAATACGCTCGTGGCGCCGAGCCAGGGGATTGGCGGAGTGGATGTCGCGGTCGCAGGAAACGCACAACGCGGCGGCGTCTGCTTTACACGTGACCACGGCGGGGGCCTGCTCGCACACCTCACACATCCACACGCGCTCGTGCCGGGAACCGATTTTAGTCGCCGCGTGCATTTTGGCGTCGCAGTTCATGCAGAGGAAAGCAGAGTCCGTCTTACAAAACAGTATCGCCGACGAGGTGTGGCAGTAGTCACAGGGCTTCGCCGCCACCAAACCCCACGCCGCCGGGAAAGCCCGGTTGTTAGTGGTCAAACCCAAACTTCCGGCTGTGCAGCCTGTTCCACCACCGTCGAGTCCTGGCATCCTCTTTTTTTTTGGAAAAAAAAAAGAAAGAAAAAAAAAATTCCGAAACGGAATCAAAAATTAAGTTTGGTGATTATTAGGCTTGGTGAGTTAGTGGTGTGAGTTGAAGCTTGGAATAACTAGAAATGGCAAATGGTCGTATGGAAATCTTATTCTGAATCTATAGAGGGGCAAGGGGGATGGAAATCTAGTTGTTTGGTGGGACCCGGGTGACACGTGGAGACGTATTTGGCCATAAAAAAGATTTCATGACTTGGTAGTGATTTTTTATGTTAAGTAGTTGTCAATTGTCTGTGCCGACGTAGGGCCCAACATTATAGAGATGATGGGCAACTGAGGGATGAGGGCAAAGGCTAGGGGGTTGGGTGTTTTGGTTTCGAGGGTCACTTTTGGGAGAGGATTATAAAATTTTGGAGTACTACTATTTAGGCCGATATCGTTTCACCTAGTAGTCTTATTTCAAAAAATATACTTCCATCCCGAATTTATTATCCAGTTTAATTTTTATTTTTAGTTCAAATTAAACTAATGAAAACAATATCGTCGAGAAACAAAATTTTTCCAACGGTTATTTTTATTCGCTCCTACATGTCCATGTCTGGATTTGATCTAGTGATTTGAACAAACTATATAGGTCACTTGAAATGCGGATATTTAATTTGCAATTCTGATGAGATTTTGTAAGCTTGCTAATAAACTTTGTAAGATCACAATAGTACATAGACATTGATCTACAATATATGCCGTTAGGCAACACACAGATACTATGAACTTGTAAAGTACTATATAACATAAACGTGTGTAAATGCAATGTTCCTTGGTTGTTTTATTTCTTCCTCGTGCACTCTGGATGAAAGAGAAGTGGTCTAAGTTACGGAGTACTCCACTAAACAACTTCTAAATGTAGACTTTGTATCCATGAAAGCGTTTTAGATTTTGTGTCCGATTTTGAAACTTTATTGTTTTTGTCTCTTCATGAGAAGGGCTAAGTAGAATAGGTAGACTGAGAACGTTAACGCCATATATATGCTCTTTCTCGAAGCCCTAAATAGGAAATCAAAGAGACTGATAAGGGGTATTATCCATCCTAACTCCTACGTCATGATACTTGTCCCATTTAGTTTATATAATCACCTCTTACAAAGCTCAAGAAAAAAGAAAACTATGTCCGTTAAACTATAATAATGCAATGAACTTCTATAATGTAACAAAATAGATTAGAGTATTTTTTTTTTCTCGTTTGTGAAGCAACAAAATCTTGAGGAGATTTTTTTGGAGAAAAGATATTAAAAAGACGAAGAAAAAAAGTTCAAAAATACATTTATGCGCCTTTTATATAAAACATATTTTCACATTAAATGTTTTGGGTCCGGTGTTGTTGGACAGACTGTATGTGACTATGTGTTACGAGTTGCATTTGAGATGGGACGCGATGGAGCGACCTGGCTCAACTTGCAATTTGCCAACTGAAAAAGGGAAAAAAAAAAACACCAAAGTTAGCTCACGAGAAGGGAGACGTATATACTTCACTTTTTACCCCTCAAAAGAAAAAAACGTATAAAAGTTGGCTTTTGGATTTTATTGAAGCCAAAATAAAAAGAAAGGGCTCAATGCTAAGTGAAAAACAACCACCTCAGTTTCGTCTATTACAAAACAAACCCCTAAACGTTAACTACACAATCTTACTGGGATTATCATAATTGTACCATGACATTAATCTTGTTAACACGAACGGACTAACAAATAACCATGCACGTACCCTCACACCTCCCATTTTGTCATTGTAATCTACCATTTTGTCATTGTAATCTTGTTAAAACATACTCTCTCCGTCCCATAATTATTGTGCACTTTGGATTTTCATATCTAGTACAATTTGAACTAAAAATGAAAATCCAAACTGGATAATAATTTTGGGACGGAGGGAGTATTTTTCAAGTGAAAAACTTGTTTACGATTCTGGTTGTCACCTAAATCATCCTCCTTACATCTCAGTAAGATGGAGCCTGGAGCCCATCTTATCGAATTAAAATGATACAATAAAATAAACTTTTGATTTCATAAGAAATGATAAATAAATAACCCCTACATTACATAATTAGATGGACTTTGATTTCATAATTCTTCTGAAATCTACTTAGAACCTTAATTATGACTCTTTTTCAAAAAAACGAAAAAAAAAATTATTACATGATAAAACTAATAAGACATTTCGCCTAGCTTGATAAAGGTAACTGTTTGTTTACATTAATTAAATAATAAACTTTCCGGGAAACCGACCATTTAAAAAACTACAATATCCGTTAAGGAATCAAAATAATACTAGGTGTCATCAAATTTTGTAGACTTGAATACACTAAAATTGGTCTCTAAGGAGGTGAAGTTGCAAAATAATAAAACTTGAGGAGATTAATCGCAATTAATCAAAAAGAAACCTAAGATAAAAAGTAATTAAAGAGGTAGCCACAATTATTTGACCCAAAGTTAACTACAAGTCCCTGTCAACTTTATATAGCGAGGATGCTGCTGTAGGAGTAGGACAGGGAGTTTTACCTTTAAGGCCAGACGGAGACAGAACGTCTTTGTATGCGCGTTACTTCGTTGGTATGTTTTCCGTGTAATAAATGAGACTCTTCCGATCATCTTCATTTAATTTTCTTTTTTTCTGTACTAATAATTGTGCATCAGAAATGAAAAATTATGTCATTCTAAAGAAGTGTACATAGTGATTTTCTTACTTTCGGTTCAAACTTGTGACCACTGAGAAAAGAATAGTCAGTCAGCCATCTAATTACCATCACGTCTGCAATATCATCAGTGAAATGATGTCGTTTTATTCATAAGTATTCTGTCATGTTATCCAGTTATAATCCCGATATGAAATACTATATACTCCCTCCGTCACATAATTATTGTCCAGTTTGGGTTTCCATTTCTAATTCAAAGTGTACTAGAGTGAAATCTCAAACTGGACAATAATTATTGGACAGAGAGAGTATGTAGTTAACTCAAGATAACTCTAAGAAAGAAAAAAAAAATACATATACAAGCAAAGTTAAAATATCGTTAGGCACCCGTTCTATATTAAGCCAAATTAGCTAGGCCATAATTTCTATCCCCATCAATTACAAAATGAATGTTTAGTTTGTTTTGATACATTTTTCCGTATCAAAACAAATCGTATTTAGTGTGTTTTAGTTCTTCGTAGAATTGAGGAGATCCCTATTTTGTAATATCCAGAATAATTGCAACGTCTTATGTCTTTTTGAAACAGTCAATGCTTTCTTCTCTTCCTCCTTTTCTTGTTCTAGTTACTTCCAGACTCAACTAGCTGGCTAGTCTAGCTTCTTTGGTTCATTAGGAAACTAAATGTCAATTTTTTTTCTTTTATTGCATTGGTTTTAAAACTTTGATTGTACTTTTTAAATAGGACAGAGTACTCGAGTAACTAGCTACCTAGTAAACAATGAACACTAATCAAAACATTAGCTTTCATTCTACAAAGCTAAGGTTTGCTAAGGCGACTTTAATCATGGGATTTCTATTGTCTTCATCACCAAATTAATGACGGGACTGTTTGGTTCCCTCGTTTCATGGTTATTATGTTAAGAACAAGAACTATGACATCTGCTTTTTCGGGTTGGCGGGGAATATGGCGCCGACTATTTTGGATATACATCACAAGTTTTGAGTTTCTTTCCGTTAGGGTTTAAGAGAAGTGGACAATTTTTTATTCTTTTTCGTCCCAAAATAATTGTCAAGTACATTTAAAAGAAAGAAGAGATTGTGAATAAATTACGAGAGGTTCAGGAATCAAATTTCGTTTTGATGAGGTGGTGGTATAACAAAAGGTAGCACCAATATGGCACACGAAAAATTACAAGACATCAATGTAAGATAACATCATTTAAGACAAAACTATTATAAACTTAAATGAATCAATAGATATCACCCCATTAACCTCAATCCCCTTTAATTTGTCGACGTGGGCGGAAAGCTAAGGGATCACTTATGCTTAGGTTAGTTTGAGTACTAGGATTCTTGCAAAGCAATGGCTCAAATTCAGTAAAGATTATGTTAAGGTGTATAACCTGTCCCACATCACCACCGTTAAGAGAAGTGACTCAATATATAAGTGTTAAAGGCCACCCCACTTTTTGCCAATTAGTTTTGAGATGGGAGTTCAAAGTACTTATATACTTTGACATGGTATCAGAGCGATTTTTGGGCTTGTGGTGATATTTTGGGGGCGGAGGTGACCTGTGGTGACTTTACATTCTCTCACTTGAGTGTTGACTCGTGGGCTTGCTGTGGATTGAACCAGCGATATAACTAGCTTTTCTCCCACTTGAGCGTTGACTCGTAAGCATATTATGAACCGATCCAACGGTATAACTGGCTTTCTCCTACTTGAGCGTTGACTCGTGGGCTATTATGTTTTTGTCCTAATCCAAGTTCATTGAGCAAAAAGTTCAAAGACCCATTGGACTTGAGGGAGGGTGCTAAGGTGTATAATCTGTCCCACATCGACATCGTTAAGAGAAGTGACTCAGTATATAAGTATCAAAGACCACCCCACTCATTGCCAATTGGTTTTGAGATGGGAACCCAACGTATTTATATACTTTGACGGATTGCAAATACTTTTTTAACGTCAGATAAAGTTCTGAAATGGGACGGATAAAAAAATAGAAATAAAAATACTCAGATTATAAATACTTTTTTAACGTCAGATAAAGTTCTGAAATGAGACGGATAAAAAAAATAGAAATAAAAATGCTTAGCTTAAAAATAAGTAAACGAATGATTTAGAAATGAGATTGCAAAAGAGTAAGCTTTTCAATGTTTTGCATTTATTAGTTTGAAACATTTCATATGGAAAGGTAATCCTTTACCAATTTATTCCTTGGGTTGTTTTTTCCTATGTCACAAAACGAGATGTTTCTCGCCCGATTCAATTTTCTTTATCATTTGATTTCTTCCAACTTGCAAATTGACATTAACAATAGGTGATCATCAAACTTTAAACAGTTCCACTAGAGAATAATCAAATATTAGTTTTATTTCCACATGATTAGAAAATTTCCCATTTATAAGTCTATATGAGTCTTTATCACATTATAAATAAGACTTTCTCAGCATCAAATTTACTATTAGAATACTTAAGAATGGGGGAAAATATATTATGCTGTATTTTGTATTCAAATGCATGTATTTTGATTGAGTTTAGGCGATTACATGGAATACGTTGACTTGAACCCCACGAAACACATTTTTATTTTTACTTTTTAGAATAATAACTAATAAATTAAACTTTATTAATCCTTGTAGAAACATTCAGTAATGGTTGACAATGAAAA